AACAGCGATTAAATCCCTGTTTCTACTCTGGCAATATTGGCAACAAGAAAGCCTGAATGTTGTCCTGTTACAAATTCTGGGCAAATATATTAACTCACACATACTTTGAAACTCAACAGTCAAGAAAGTAAGGAAAATGACCGGGGGCCAGAAGTCTCAAGACAGCAGGGATGCAGGCCAGGGAATGGGGCCACCAGGGGAGCTGCCCCGGCTGCTGCAGTCTGCGGAGACCAGAGTTTCCTGAGCCCTTTAATGTTTCCCAGGCTCTCACAGAAAAGCTGGGGCCTGAGCAGGGAGGTTGAAGCCCTCTGGCTGAACCCCAGGCCCTGAGAGGCTCCATCAGCAAATATTGACCAGTGGAGACTGTGCAGTGGGGAAGGCGAAAAAGCTGGCCTGTCTCAGACCCAGCTCTGCCACGGGGGACCTCAGCAGTGTGTCTGCACCTGCCTGCCATCTGGGGCCAGCTTCCCCACCTGAGACTTCTAGAAACTGAAACCGGAGGGAGGGGGGTAGGGCACAGCCATTAACAGAAAGACAGCAATCAGCACCAAGAAGGTGGAAGATTCATATCCCACTAAACCTCAAGCTTCAATCTACACTTATTAAAATACAATCACATGCTAATTGGCCCTCCCACAGGGGCCAAGACAGTTTCAAGGCAGACCACAAAAGGTCAGAGGGTGAGCAGTGGTCGGATTCCTTGTAACCCCCACCCCTTCCCCAAAGTAGCTGGACTAACCCTCCCACCTGTTAGCATATGAAGTTACCAAGCTCATAAAAACTGACAACCCCACACCTCGTGGTCACTCTCCCTTCTGAGCGAGAGGGCCCACACTCTTGTCTCTGGCATGTATCTCTCTCTGAATGAATCTACCTTCACTCAGCTGTGGCTCACTCTTGAATTCTTTCGGGTGCGAAGCCAAGGACCCACACTTGGCAAGGTGCATCCTAGGGACTTAACTGAGACCTGGGACACGGCCATCCTCTTGCACCACAATTTTCCTGTATCAAAACCACAAACCAAGCATTTAGTTTAAAGCCACCGGCAGGGCTGACAGAGGAAAGGCCAATCTTCTTGAGGGAGTTCATCATCAGAGCTCTTAAGGGATTCCCAAATAAAGTTCTCCCAAATATGAGCTCAAAAGCAAAGTCACAAAAAAATCCCTCTAGGATAAGGCACCACAAGTGGGACAGCAGGAGTTTGCTGCTTCCTGAAAAGCTTTGAAAAAGTGATGAAGTTTCTTTTAAAGGCATAAAACCCACAAGGCAGAGAAAATAAGAGTGCAGAAGGCGGCCATGCAATCTCAGGAAACAGGCAATCGGTCACTGCCGTGCAGACCCGTGAACACAAATGACGGGGAAAGAGAGAACGTTCAGGAGGCACAGGCGTCAGTGGAAGGGCAGGTGTTGGAGCGCAGATTGTAACAGAAAAGAAACAGATCTCACTCCATATTACATCTGTCTGAAATAGACAGGAAGCCTATTCTCTAGACTCTGATCATTTTGAATATTAACGCTCTTGCACTTACATAAAGATAACAAGTTGCAGAATAGAAAATACCATTTGTTTTACTGGAGGTTTACAGGGACACCATGACCTGACCCACGTAGACAGCTGCAAGAGCAAAGAATTCCTGTACCAAGAAGTCTGCAACAATCAACCACACCCCTCCCCTTTTTAGTATAAAAGGAGCCTGAATTCTGACTTGAAAAGGATGGTTCTCCAGGACATTAGTCTGCCATCCTTTCAGTCTGCCAGCTTTCCGAACGAAACCGCTATTCCTTGCCCCAGCACCTCATCTCCCGATTTACCGGCCTGTCGTGTGGCGAGCAGAACGAGTTTGGACTTGGTAACACAATGCCAAGCAGATATGGGGAAAATGTGGTCCCAGCTGGTGTCTGCCGAGGCCCTGCACACTGGGGCTGACCTACCTTGTCATCATCCTCACAGGTCATGACACTGGAGAAAGGGATCTCCGCCTTGAACATCTTCCGGCAGTGCATGAGCTGCACCAGCAGGTGGGTAGCACACGGTCTTGAACTTCATCCTTTTGGCCGGTTTTATGTCCGAGAGAATCAGCCCTGGAATTATCTGTGCAGACGTGGGGCAAAGAGAAACACTGTGAGTGGACAAACTCATCCTGCCTGTTGGGAAGGGAGCACAAATGTGATGAGCAAGGAGGTCACAGCCACCTGCTCAAGGCCTGCTGCTCACCAGACACAGCAGGGAGCATAACCAGCAACCCAGTTCCAAACTCGCAGCTCTCAGATACCCTGAAGGCCTCTGAAAGCCAGATCAGTGACCCGAATCCCGGGGTGGATTCGGACTCCTGTGCGTAGTCAGGGCCCTCGCCCAGCTGGGGCAGCATGAGGCTGATGAATGTCACCCATGAGCCCCCGGGGGCCTTCCTGCAGACTCCCCTTCTGCCTTTTGCCTTTTTCTCTCCCTCTCATCCCAAACTTCTCCAAAGGGGCTGCTCCTTGTACAGACCTCATCACCCCGCTCACCCCGAAACTGCAGCCATACCTGACGCTGGTGCTTGATTCTGCATGACGTGTGGGGTAGCATCCGTGCAGGGCACCGAGGCTCCCTCTCCAGCTCAGAGCCTCCTGCATCCCTGCAGTGGCCCACAGGCCTCCCTCTTCAGCCCCTGCCCTTCGCTCCCATGTCCCCAGGTTGACCCCCGCTGGTCACCCAAACCTCTCTCCGAGCCCTCCTCCCAGCCATGCTCACACCTGCAGTCTGCCCGCACACTCACTCCCTTTTTCAGGACTCAACTCACCGTGCCTGCCTGACCCCTCTGAGCCCCACTTCTCTCTCCTGGCCAGTGCCACTCCTGTCCACGGTCCCCATGTCACGTGAGCACCACTGCATCCCAGGGACTGTGGATGCGCCAGGCAGCAAAACTCAAAGTTTTCCCTTGCATCTGACCTACTTGTGTCCTGAAGGAGCACTGGGGCCACACCTGAGCCCAGCGCCCCTCACCTGAGCCCTGGAAGTGGCTCAGTCACCCTCAATCATGTCCAGGTCGCATTCTCTTGACAGAGTGACCTCCAGCACCCCACACACGATGGTCACAAGCCTTCCTGTGTGCACAGATCCCTCAATCCATAGGGCACCCCTTCCCTGACTTCCTGCAGAGGGTTCTCAAACCTGATTACAGGAGAGGCAGAGGGGAGGTGCGGGAGGACACAGGATGGCCCAGGCCTTGAGGTCCCCAGGGCCTTGACCTCAAGTTAAGTCCCCCTGCCCTCCCCTACTGCCCTCCCCATGTGCTAAGGCCAGGCCCAGGGACAAGGTTAGTGGGGACACCCTCCAGTGTGCACAGAGCTCAAGGCCTGAGAAGCAGAGATCTGAGGAGAAAAAAGGAGCCGTTAGTCTCTGAGAAGGCGCAGCACAGGAAGGGTTCTGGAACCTACCTTTCGTCTATGTCAGGGCACGATAAAAAAGGTCTCGATATTATGAGTTTTCAGAAAACTGTTCCTCTCGTGTCCATGGCCCGGCTCCACCTCACAGTCACCATTCAGGCATGCCAGGGTGGTCTTTATGATGTGAACCTTCCTACAGAAAAGGAGGCAGAGATTTGGAAAGAACATTCAGGCAGAGGGGAGTAGGGGCCAGAGGGAGACAAGGACCAAGTGTCAGGATTCAGTAGAGACGATGGGGAAGGAGAGGGCGGCCAGGTGAGGGGAGAAGCGAGGCCCCTCCCCAGTCGGCAGTCTGTCCCTGAAACCTGCAGGGTGGGAGGACCCAGTCCAACATCAGGCCCACACTGCCCCCACACAACGGGGGGCAGGTGGGAACAGTACGCTGTGGGCGGCATTCACACTCCCCCAAGCGAGTTTTCTGGCAACAGAAGGAGAAATCCTCACCGTTAGCGCAACCTGAGCAGAAACCGATCCCACACGACCTAGACACGCAGCCTGAGCTCCCGCCCCTTAGTAAGGCCTGAGCGCTAAGTCCTCGCATCTCTGCACAATCTCCTGAATTCCTTGCCAGCCTCGGGGTAGGGGAATGGGGAGGGGGACACATGCAGGGCACTGAGGCAGGAGTGAGTGTCCCCCCACGGCTGGCTCTGAGAGCACTTGGGACTGTCTCCCCATCAGCCTGGCCCTGAACTGCAAAAGGGACACCACGCACCAAAGGTCTCTAGAAATGCGTGTGTGTGTGCTCATGCTTTCACTGGTCCTCCCTCCCTTTTTCCTTTGCTTCCACAACAGAGATGGACGGCACTCCTGCTGCTGAGCTGTGGGGCCCACAGGGAGACAGGAACGTTGGCCATGGCGCTCAGCACACAGCATCCCAGGCCTGGGAAAGAAGAGGAGTCTCGGGCGAGGAGGCCCTAAATGCACGTGGTGGGAACGGACGGCACCCAGGGTCCCAGTCTGGACCCGCGGAGAAACTGGGGGCCTGGCTGGTCCTGAGCAGCAAAGTCACTAAGGGGGACAGAGCCCTCTCACTAGTGAGCGCTGGCCACACTCACCAGGGGCGATTGCTCACCAGCATGTGCGGTGGGAGTGGAGACAGTCAGCCACAGGAGCGCTCCGTCCCCGGGGACGGAGGGTGGGGATGCCCAGTGTCTGCCACCTCCAAGGCCCCTGGCACCAGAGGCCCGCTTACTTATGAGACTGTCCTGTCCACGATGGCAGGGGTGGGGAGACATGAGGCCTGGAGGCCTGGGGTGGGGGTCCCACCACGTGCTGGAGCTGGTTCTGGCCTGAGGGCCCCTGGGGGTGGGGAGGAACATTTGCTCAGGATCCAATTTCACCTGCTTCTATGGCAGCCTGGAACATGCACCCAGCACACCAGTTTGGGGCAGACCAGGAGTTGCATGTGATTGGGGCAGCAGAGCGGGGTGTGTGGTCTCCTGCTGCCAAGAAGATGGAAGCTGTCACCATGCAAGGAGCAGACCCCTCCCTGGCCTTGGCCTCTCCAAGACAACCACCCAGGGCCTAGGGACTTGGGAAGGAGCCCATGAACTGAGTCTCAGGAGTCCCAGCATGAGAGGGTGGGGTAAAGACACAGTGGTGATTTATTCCTCCCATGGCTTTGGAAGGAAGTATGGAGAATGGATGGTTGGGTGGAGAAAGCAAGCAAAAGAAAAAAATCACATTACGAGTTAACGCAAGAAACAGCAATCCTAAAGGGAGGCAAAGTGAGGAAATGGTGAGAAGCCTGGGGGTGGATGTCACCTCCTGGGGGTGGATGTCATCTCCAGGGGCCTGGGGGGTCTCAGGTTACTAGAAAACCCCTATCACTGCCCCCATCCCAAGGACAGGGCAGGACCTTGAGGGATGCACATGCCAGGTGTGCCAGGCCCCTAAAGGCACTGGGGAGGGCGGGCTCGGTAGCCCCTGTCCCCACTCATCAGGCAGCTTCCCTCCGCTCCTCCCACCTCCCTGCCTGGGAGACCTGCAGTGCACTGCCTCCTGGAAGCGCCCATGCTTTCGCCCTCCCGGTGCCCTGAACCATCTGCTGAGGCCACCGCTGGCCCCATGCACCTGACCTGGTGTCCAGTCCTCATTTTGCTGCAAAAGAGCAGCGCTGAACACAGCTGACAGCCCTTCCTCCTCTGGGGGCACACTCCTTCCGGCTGCCCGCGCTCCCTCTAACCGCCCCCACCTCTCCCTGCTCCCCTTCTCTCAGGGACCTGGGGCCCAGGCTTGGCCCTTCATCATCATCTCTCTTTCTCATGATTGGCACGGAGTTTCCAAGGCATCAGTGCCCCGAGTGCCTGTGACCCCCCACACACACTCAACCTCCAGCCCAGACCCCTGACCAGCCCAACCGACCTCTCACCTCAGTGGTGGGGAGACCTGGCCTGACAGGTGATAAAGGACCCCCAGGCTCAGGGCCCCACGCCCAGCTCTGTGTTGATTAACACTGCCCCGCCCTGTGTCATGCTCCCCTCTTCTGCATTCCCTGTAGTGTTCCCTGTGGCCCCCTAAGAACATGAACTCCACCAGGGCCGGGGTCTGTCTCCGCTGCCGAAGCCCACCTCCTGGAACAGTGCCTGCACACAGCATGTGCTCAGTAACACTGTGCTCCTGGCTGGCAGCATTTCTTTGGTGGTGGGTGGGGGACCATCTTTTAGAAATGGGTGGGGTGGAGGAGAGAAGGGAAGAAGTAGAGAACAGGGCAGGGAGGAGGCAGCCCCTCCTGCAGGTCTGGTAGGTGGAACAAGGGAAGGGAAGCTGCAGGTCAGTCTGAACTTGAAAGAGGCGCTGGCCAGGCGAAGGGCCGGGGGAGGGGCTGCCTAGCGGTGGGAAATCTGTGCTTGTCCTCAACTGTGGAGCTGCAGGGCAGACGGAACGCACAGGACAGGACCTCAGCAGGGAGGCAGAGGAGAGAGGTGGGCAGCTCCTGTCACCACCTAGCCAGCTAAGGGTCAGGAATTTGTGTGGCACAGTGGGGCGGCAGGAGTGCTGTCAGTGGGGGGTCGCTCTGGCTGCCAGAGGGGGAGGGGCAGGGACAGTGAGAGGGTGCTTACAGCAACCCCCCAAGGCCCTGTGCTGAAGGGTGGAGGACAGGGGAGTGGGGGGCTGGCAGGAAGGGGGGTGGCAGGGAGGGGTCAGTGGCAGCGAGGGTCCCCCCCAAGGGGACGCTCAGAGGCAGCCCGGGATACAGACAAAAATCGTGTGGTTTTTGAGCCCATTTAGAAATGCCGTGGTCACTCCCGGGGCTGGCTCAGCTGTGGTATTCAAGATGATTTTGAGCTCCCACCTCCCTTTTTCTGCTGTTGGATTCTAACTTCCATGCTTGCTACTACTGTGCTTCCAGTAAGCCTTCCTTGTGGTTAGCAGCCGCTGTCCAGAGCGAGAACCGCTGGATCCTGGCTGTCCCCAGCCGAGCTCAGGGCCTCAGCACAGGGACAGGGCTGCGTGTTTCAACCACCTCCCCTGAGATCAGGCCGGGAGGGAGGGGGAAGGATGTGCCCAGAGGACACCAGGCCTGCAGGGTGAGAACAGGCCATGGGGAGAGGGCAGGCAGCGAAGGTCAGAGGCCAGAGCAGAGGGTGCAGAGCTTTGCCCTGACGTTCACAGGACGTGTGCAGAAGCAGACGTGGGTGTGCGGGTGTCTAACGCTCAACTCCAGCACCTGGGAGCCACTGCTGGTCTCTGCAGTAGATGTGAGCACATCCTGTGATCTCCTCTAAGGGGAGGAAATCAGGATGGCGGGACCTCGAGCGTGAGCCTCAGAGCCCCCTTTCCTGCAGCCACATCCATGTCCTTCCGCCCCCAGCTAGGGGAGGAAGGGGAGCTTCTGTAGTTTTTTGCTTTGTTTGTTTTGTTTTGTTTTGTTTTGTTTTTCATACAGTATACTATGCCTCGGCTTTGTGAAAGGTTTGAAGAAAATGAGCCCAGAGAAGGCAAATGTAGTTAGAATGCATCAGAAGTGCACAGACCATTGAGAACTCATCCCCATTCTAGGAGGAAACCTGTAACTTCCCCAGAGGGGCTCTGAAGCCACAGCACGTTCCCCTCTGAGTCTGAGAAAGAAGCGAAGTGCGACGAGGCCGTCAGCACTCCGGACAGCTCCGAGCCCGGCTCACAGCCCCCACCTCCAGTCTCCTCCTCCAGGGCCCACTAGCCTGCTTTCTGTGGGGTTCATGGGGTCAGGTGCCTGAACCAGCCCAGAGAAAGTCTCTTCCATGTTGGTGGGGGGCCAAGATGGCCAGGCTTCCCAGATCCCCACACAGAAGGTCGGACTAGAATCCCCCACACCTGCCCTCAGGGTCCCAGACTCACCCAGGCAGGCCGGCAGCTTCCATGACGTTGGCCAGGGTCACATCGTTGGACCACACATCGTACTGCCACTTGCACAGGCCCAGGACCCCGCAGAGGACCCTGCCGGTGTGCAGCCCCACACGCATGTTCAGGTCCACCTCAGTGGCCTCGGCCATGGACCTGCAGCAAACAGACACAGGACGTGGGGATGGGTCCCCGCTGTCTGCTCCCGGGATGCCACGAGGACAGGAAAGCCGGGCCTTGTGCTGCCCCTGCTGTGAGGCCGGGCATAGTGCTCAGAGGAGAAGGAGCATGGGGGTCTCCTGACCTCATCAGCCCAACCCCTGAACTATGAACTGCTCCGGGCTGGCTCCCCGCAGCTCCCTGGCCACTGGCCATCTCACAAGGCATCACACCCCCCCTTTCCCCTCCCCACCCAGGGCAGCCCTGAAGGGAAATGAGCCCAGGATTTGAATCCCAGGACCCCGAGCCGTCTCTGTGCACCACTGCCCTGGGCGGGGCGCTCACCCCTGCTTGCTAGCCAGAGGCCCACATGAGAGCCACAGGGAGCATCTAACAGTCCCAGGAGCCCTGGGAACAGGCAAGCTCTGACCCTGGGCCCCTGACTGAGAGGGTGGGCTGCAGACCCAGCCTGCAGGGAGGCCCAAGGCTCTGCAAACCTGCCCTGAACAACAGATGGACTCCGTGGGCTGCAAACTGTGCCTCAGTCACTTGTGGGAGAAAACAAGACAAAACGTGCAGACACTGAAATCAGACTGCAGGCCCCGGTGCGCACCCCACCTCCCCAGCCGCTCACGACCCTGGGCTCCAGCCCCTGCTGGGGACACAACAGCTCCAAGTCCTGAGGCGAAGCCCCGGGCGCGACCACCCTTGGAGGTGGGGGCAGCATCCCAGGAGCACTTGTGCGAGGTAACAGGAGGTGGCTTTAAAGGCTCCTTGTAAAGAGATTCCCCGCAGTGGTGGAGGAGGGCTGCGCTCAGAAATCCTCTCAGGGGCCCCCGAGGGCACCCCGCACGGTTCCTCCAACCCCACAACGCCCACAGTGAAGTGAGCGCAGGAGGCGCACAACGCGCCTTTGGTGGCACAGTCAGAGCTCAGGACACGCTCCACGGCCACAGTGACGCCCTCTGATGCTGTTTTCCACTTTTCCCCAAAAGGCAGACGTTATTTTACTTTTAAAAAGTCTGGAACAGGAAGCAGCATCAGGCCTGGCTGGTGTGCTCCAAGGGACAGAAGTGCAAGGAGGCCTTGAGGGAGGGGCGGGGGTCAGCCTCGGCGCCCCGGCTCCTCCCCAGCCTGGGGGTGCGAAGGCGGCCCTGACCGGCAGGTGTGTCAGTGGGACTCCCCAGACAGTGCTGACATGCTGTAGCAAGAAGGGCAAGGAGGCCTAGTCGAGGGTAGGGGACACTGAAGCCCTGTGGTTAGGACGTTGTCCGTGAGAAGGAAGGCAGGCCAGGAGACCAGGATCACACAGGGTCGCACTGCCACCACCCTCCAACAGCCCAACACAGACTACTCACCCTCAGTCCCTCCCAGCAGCAGGTGCTCACAGTCCAACCACATCTACATCCACAACAGAGCAGATGTCCTGAGCCTGTGAGCTCACGGCCAAATCTCACTCCTGCTCCAAGACTCAGGGCTGATTCACATGTGTCCACCTTGTTCAAATATGACACAGGCCCAGCCCGGATGCTGCCTCTT